ACTGAATGTCTGTTCACTTGCTCCATAATTTCTACTAAATATTGGGGCTCTGCTCACCATTTCAGTCCCTATCAGCTATTACCGTGTTTCTTAATAACATCTTACATTCTTGGGTCACGACCTTTTGTTTGACAAGCTCTGCCCTGACCTCTCACCTCTGACTACCATCAGGGTGAAAACAAATGACCATGAATTCATTCTGAGTTTTCACTGGGTTGTGGACAGAGACTTGTCTTTATCAGGCTGTGCCTGATTCTTACTAGAGGGCTCTGGATGCTGTGTGTGGTGGACCTGCAGGTTCATTTTCAACTGGAAATTTCATACTTAGGTTTAGGCCATTTTTAGATTAAGGCCATCCTTACAGCTAGCCTGGGCCACAGTTTGGGGCCCCCACAGAAATCCTGATTAGGACCTACTGCCAGGTGACATAGCACATTGGGGGCACAGGTCACACCTTAGGCATTAACCCCAAAAAACATCAGGAGACAGAAAAATACACATGACATTTTCATACCTATCAACTGATGGTGGACCCTGCCTCACATGGAGACTTCCATGTTGGGTGGGGAATTCCTTGACAAAGGAAGGGATTTCATTCAGAGGCCAACTAAACTACACCTCAGCTACAAACAAAAACTAACACATATTATCTATCTATATATGTGTGTATATGCCATCCCTAACATATTCTCTTACCCCTGAAGAGTCCTGCTGGCCTCCCTCACCAGAGTTCTTGAGAGTTCAGAGAAGGGGAACATGATGAAGTTTTAGAGACTGCTTTGTAGCTCTGGGGTTGGGTGTTACCTGTCAGGATGGGCAGCCCACCCACTGCTTTATTTGGTGAATCATATTCTATGGAAAAGCCTTTGGGTATTCCCAATAGAAAAATAAAAACACTCACTCACTCTCTCCTTCCAGTGTGGAAGCAGCACTCTTAAGATCTCAGAACTGGCCTGCCCTTGCATTTCAAAATTTTTTTCTGTGCCCTCTGATATCTTGGTGTATCTCACAGCCAGCTTTCTGCAGGAAGGGAACACAGCATATCTTCCAGTGAAGGCCACAGGTGAGAGTACAGGCTCTTGAATGGGTTGGGACTAATGGGATGTCAGCTCTTTTTATATTTTATTTTGAGACAAGGTCTCACTAGGTTGTTTAGGCCCCTGCTAAGTTGCTGAGAATAGCTTTCAATTTGCAATCCTTCTGCCTCAGTTTCTTGAGGGATTACAGGCATACAGCAGTGTTCCTGGTGTATATAACAGGGATATTTAAACATTCAAATAACTAATAGGAAAGTAAAAAAAAAACAAAACAAAATGGTGAGTGTTAAGCATGGCCACAGTAAGAGGTTAAGGAATGCATGAAACCAAGAGAAGAAAACTAAGGCAACCAAAGTAGAAGTTACAAGGAAAAATATGGAATCCAGAGTACTTGTATCAGAGCAGAGGGAGGTTCTGTTCTGTTCAGCTTAAAATGCACTTTGGTAACTGTAAAAATTTTCTAATTCCCAGAGGAAGCCCAAAGGAAAAAAAATTACAGCATATTCACAAATGACAAAGAAGGGAATCCAAAGTTATCCCAGAAAAAAACACCAACCCACAGAAACAGACTAGAGAGTAAGGGAGGAAAACAGAGAAAAAGATCTAAAGAGAAATCAGAAAAAGAAACTAAAAACAAATAAGACCAGTCAGAAATAATTCTGTATCTTTCAATCAAAAAACTCGAATTTAAAGGGATTAAACTTCCCAATTATAAGATGTAAAGTGACTGAATGGATTTTCTTTTTTTAATGGACTCAGTGACCTGCTGTCTACCAGAAAGTCACTTCTCCTCAGGACATACACAGAGTGACAGTGCAAGGATAGAAAAAATATTCCACACGAAGAAAACCAACTTAGAGCAGGAATTGCTAGACTCCTGACAGATAAAATTGACTACAGATTAAACACAATAAAATGAGACAAGGTTATCACAGGATAATAAAGAGGTCAATTCAGCAACATGAGACAGCAATTGTACACATACATGTGCCTGACACCTGAGCACCTACATGTGCAAAAAGGTATACTGGAATGTAAAAGAAGTCGTAAGAACAATGGGGGCTTCAACTCTCCTTTTCAGCACTGGACAGATCATCTCTGCACACAGTAGACTTTTACAGACCATCCCACCTAACCACTGCAGAGCAAACATCCTTCTCAACAGCACACGACACATTCTCCATTTATTCTCAAAATAAATCTCCATAAATTTAATAAGAATGGGATCTATAGCAGGGGGAACACCTGGAGAGTTACAAAGCATGGGAATTCTTCAGCGTGTTCCCAAAAAACCAATGGGTCATTGAAGAAATCAAAACATTGTCATGTATGTGAGAAATAAGAAAAATAAATAAAAATAAAAAAAGAAAGTTTAAAATGCCTGCAGACCAATGAACAGGGCCACACAAGATACTCAAACCTGTGGATACAGCAAAAGCAATTTTAACTGGGATGCCCTCAACAAGAAATAACTTCATTAGAAAAATAGATCTTGAATAAATGGCCAAATATTGCATCTCAAGAGACTGGAAAAAATAAGGATGGATCATGCCCCAGTTAGTAAAATTGGGAGAAAGAATAAAATCCTAAAGCTTTTTGAGAAGCTGGGATCCCAGGCATGAGCCACTGCAACCGGCTTTTCATACTTGCTTGTTATTGTTTTGGGGACCAGGCAGTGAATCCAAGGGTGCCACACCATGAGCCCCATCCCCAGGTAGGATTTTGAAACAGGGTCTCACAAACTTGCTTACAACCTCACTAAATTACTTAGGCTGGCTTTGAACTCACCATCCTCCTGCCTCACCTCCTGAGTGCTGGAACTACTAAGCCAGCTTTTCCAGTTGTTTTTGAAAGAGAATCTTTCAGGACATCAATTTGACCCACTTGTCCATACCAATTAAAGAATGCTTTTCATTGTTTTCATGTGGGTTCTGGTTCTTTCTTTTTTAATATTTCTAACAGATAGACAGCTCTATTTCAATTAAATCCTTCCGAATGTGGTCACACCAATTTTGGATTTATTTATTTGTTTTCTTATTTCTGTGATGCCTTGGATGGAACCCAGGCCTTTCCACATGCTAGCAAGTGCTCCACCACTGAGAAATGTCCCCAGCAACCAGAGTAAGCGCTGACAAATTTCACTCATTTCTCTAGAATAGCATGTGTGCTTGGTTTCTAGATTGTGGAGGTAAAATTGGACAGTGTTCCAGAAGGGGCTGTAGAGTCTTTGAATACAAGTGCACAAAGGACTCTGCATCTTTCAGAGTCCAAGGAGTGAAACCCAGTCCCCACTTCCTGACTCAGCCACCCTTACAAACCCGGTCCTGTTTGTTATAACATCCTACAGTTTTGTGCTCTCTCACAGCACAAATCAACCTAGAGTCAAAAGATGAGAAACTCAAAAAGAGGTGAGTGCTTTATCCCCAGGCATCTGAGAAAACAAAGTTCCCTCACAATCCTTCCAGTGTTCAAGGGGTCTCGAGGCACCAGAATATCTTCAAGTTACTTTTTAGTCATAAAAACTCTTAAAAGAACACATGATGACAGGTCTCATTATGCAGATCTTCCTTGACTTTATTTGATCCTAGAATCCAACAAAATGAATGCCGTTCAGAACCTTCCACCTGCCCCACATGTGCAAGCTAGACTTAGAGCCCGAGAAACAGAAGTGCTCTAAGTCTTTATCCCAGGAGAAAACACCAACCCACAGAAACAGACTCTAAGAGGGAGGGAGGAAAAAGATCACTCTTTGGGTGACAGAGAGGCCAGCTTTGCTTGGTTCAAACTCTGCTACCAGTTCCAAAAGTGAGCAGCAATCTGCTTACACATCAAAGTGGGTTCCAGTTCACTCTATGTAGAGAATTATTCAAGCCATTATTAAAACATGTTTACAGGTATCTTTAGAATACCTCAAATGAAGGCTAGGTGGACCTCGTTCTCATCCTTGGATGGGAAATTAAGGCTAAGGTCGCTGCACAAGCCCATTAGCCCAGTCCTCAGCAGAGGGAAGTGTTAGGGGAAGATCTGTCAGTTATGTGCAACTCCCGCCCCTCCAGAGCTTGTAATTTATTCAGTTTCGTTTTGAAACATTTGCAAGTGTTATCTACCTATATGATTCTACAATTTTGCTGAAAGGGAATTTGGATACCTTCAAGGGGCACCACTAGTTGAACTGAGGACAGACTACCTAGGTGGATGACAGGAAAAATTTGGTGAGGCCCAGAGGCTCTGATTAATGTGCAGCATGGACACCTCCTGCAGGCACTGGGAGTGGGACAATGGGGCCTGTCTTACGCACAGATGTCCTTGCCCAGCACACACAAAGACCAAGACCTGAGGTTTCTAGTCTACATGGAGACCCATGAGCAAGGGCCAGCATTGAATGTATGGGTGGCACTGAGGTCCACTGAGAAGAGGTTTTCTTGAATGGCTCATGTTCAATGCCTACATAGAATGTTCCAGTACACCTGTGTGAACCTGCATGTGTTAAGCCACAGAGTAGCCACACATCATGACCAGATTTCAGTTTGATACCTTGACTTTCTGGGGCTTAATCTCATTTTTCACCAAGTACCCTGTGCCTTCTTTTTCCATCAGCACCTTGAGAATCCCAAGGTTTCATTAGAAATCCAGGTAAATCCAGTGAAGTGAATGTCGGAAGACTAACCTTGAGATTCTGTTCATTTCTGACTATTTATGGACCAGCCATGAAACACAAAAGCTTCTGCCTTTGCTCATCCCATTCTAGAAATCCAGTTCCCTATGTATGTCTCTATAAAGAAACATGTCCTGAAGATCCTATTTTTGGGGGCTTTCCTCCTATGGAGCTTCCTGCTGTACTTTCCTTTCCCCATACACACTTCAGCCAATGTCTGAAATGGTGTTCTGTGTTCCATCTAAGGTGACCTTACATGCTGGTTATAACTCCAATTGCCTAGAAGTACAATTGTGAAACACACCCAACTAGGCAGCTGTTGGACAGGAGCAGTGAATGATGCCCTGGTTATAAAGGATCTTGTAGCCACAATGATGACAGGGGACAGTACAGAACACAAGGATGTTTGGCTGCCTAAAGTTTCTAACTATTGCTGTCAGCTCAGCACAGAGTTGGGAACATCTTCCTGGGTGGATGGTACCCCATGCATCATAGATCTCCAGAAGGGCAGGATACAGCTCTACGCTCAACTGGGTAAGCCTGGCAGTGTGAAGCAATAGGTCCCTCAGGGTTGACATAGAGAGGCGGTTCCCATGGAAGATCAAGATCACAAGCTGGGAGCAGCGGCTCAGGGCAGGCAGGAGGGCCTGAAGCTGGGAGTCAGTGATCCTGCAAGCTATCAGGTCCAGGCTGTTCAGTGTGGTTGCAGTGCTGTCCAGCAGAATTTGGAGGGGCTCCAGACTGAAATCAGTAAGTTTGATGCTCCTCAGTTCCAGGTGTCTGAGCTGTCTGGTGTTTGAATATTGGGAAAGATAATTCCAGTCAGAATCTGACAGTGGGCAGTTGGTTATTGACAGGGAATCCAGGGGGGTCTTAAGGTTCCTAAAGAAAAACAAGACAGTTAGTTCTGAGAAACAATGTCAAAGAGGGTGAAGATAAATTGGCCCAAACCCAAAGTCACCCTGGTAATCTGATAATGGTCCATAATTAGGATCCTGCCTTTTGCAGAATCTGGTCATTCACATCACCCCATGTCAGGGTGAGCCTTTCACCACATCTCCTGTGAACAGATGAGTCCACATCTCTGTATCCCCTCTCACTGACAAGCAGAAAGTCTCAGGTCTGGCAACAGGAGGTCATAGGGAGTCATGTATGAAGGACAAATTTGGGCAGAATGTAACAAAATCCACTGGAGTTTACCCTCTGTGAGGCTCACACCCTATATCCTCAGCAAGATTTCCACTTCTGCTCCTGATCCTTACACCCAGGATCACTACGTGGAGTTCAGAACAGCCTTCCCCAGGTGGGTATAGAGACTCCAGCTGGGGAGCACAGAGCTTCCCTGTTGACGGGTGTAAATGTGGGGGCTTCCCTCTTCCAAGCCCTCTTCTCTACCGGCTTTCCACCACCTTTGCTGGACAGACATCCCACGGAGAGAACATCAATCCCATTACTAGCTCCTGTCCCTCCCAACTGGATTCCCAGCATGGTGGCACTTCCCAGACTATGGACCCTTATTTAGAAGTCTGCTCCAACACACATTATGTGATCTAGCTTCAGGATCCAATAGGAACCAAAAGGATGTGTTATTTACTTTCCAGTGTCTTATTAACCGTGAGAGTGTCAGTGGCATGTAGGTGTAAATTTTCTGTAACTGGTCTTCAGAGAGTGCTCACCCCCACTTACTCACCTCAGCACCTAATCCAGGTCGCCCTTGAGGAGGAAGAAAGCATTGGCACAGCACGTCCGCAGGCAGTCCATCCTGAGGAATTGCAAGGTGAGCTGGGCAAGCAGCTGCTCCTGTTCCTCTTGAGAGGTGTAGGCAGGCACATAGACCTGGGAGACAAAAAGTTTCCTCATATGGCCCAATAAAGGAGCAGAAGCAGCCAAGGTGAAGGGCGCCCAGGTGCAGTGCACTTTCACCTTCTGGACAGGATCCAGCTGCAGCAGTCTCAGGACCTTCCTGGTGTGACTGGTGGATTTCCCAACGTTCTTCAGCCTATTGCAACACAGGTGCAGCTTGTCCCTTCTCTGTGTGACCCACAGGAACAAGTGGGTCAGGAATTCATCCAGGGGTCTTTTTCTGAGGCTCAAGTCTATGACTACCTTGAAGGGTGGCTTAGCTGCCATTGCTGGACCAAATTTCAATGTTCGATTCTTCTTAATGTCCTCTGGTGAGCAGGCATCAACCACGGCTCCAGACCATGTCCTCCAGAAGTTCTGGGGAACATTATAAAAATCCAGCACCTGCAGTTTCCACCTCCTGTAGGGACGAAAGCAGAGTCTCAGCCCTGAGGCCCCTTCCTTCACCTCTCAGCTGCTGCCTCCTGCTCCACCTCTTGCTTCTGTCTCACTTTTCTCCATCCACTTTCCTCCAATCTAGCCTGGTGCCCCCACTTGTACAGACTGAGGCAGCCACAGTTACAGCCTCCTTCATGGGTCACCCACCACAGCTGCCACAAGCACCTCAACATTTGGAAGCCTTTCCCAGATTGGGCTCAGCATGGCCAAGGCCTCTCCACCCCTCCTTGCTGGCAGCACAGGAAGCCTGTGTTGCACAATTCAGAACCCACTCTCCCTGCCTATACCCAACCCTTCCCTAGCACTGAGGGTGCTCCCTTTCAAGCCACCTAGGTCCCCCTCACCTGAGGCAATCCTGCTTGGCAAGCAGCATGTCCAGCCCATCCAGGGCCACTAGTATCATCTCAAGCTGTGTCTTTCTCATCAGGGCCCCCAGAGGCAGGTGGGTGAAGAGCCAGGTCTGCACCATTTTCTTCAGGACCTCAGTGTGTCCCTTGCTGAAGGCCTACACAAAGAGTGGTGGGAAGACCTCTAATGGAAGTTCATCCAGATCCAGGACAGCCCTGGTCTTGTTGTTCAGAAGGCTGCACCCTGCCAGCTCCAGCAGCGTGGGTGGGGACTGGATGCTCCTCCTGTGGAGTCTGAAAGAAGAAGAATCCTGGAATATGGTCCAGGGAACAGGCCACTATCCCATCCATTGCCACCCTCTGGGAAGAGGGTGCTGTGAAGTCTCTGAGCACACCTCACCATTATGGGGGAAAGCTTTGGATTATTATTTTGTCATTTTAAAAGGGGAACTGGAGTTTCATGTGACCTAAACAGTAGGCTCATAGATTCAAGAACTATATGGCTGGAAATGGACTTGTCCTCATATGGGTGACATTAGTTTTATTTTATTTTTTTAAAAGAGCATTTATAAAGCATGTGGCCATAGTATAAAACACTTGGAAATTACAACAGAGTCTCATGGATATCTGTTACACATGTGAGATTCTTCCATCTTAGGGGAATTTTGAAGAGAAAAAACAGATCAGAAAAGAGTCTGTGAACCGGTCCATGAGATCATTTGATGCTTTTGGTTTAATTTGTTTGAACAAATTATAAAAATACAAAACCACATAGTCCATACAGTATACTCTTTTAGAGGCCAATATTGGTGACTGAATTTAGCACACTGAACCACTGAGCCACTTCCCTAACCTTATTTTGTATTTGAGATGGAGACAGGGTCTTTCTGATTTGTGGAACATTGTGTGTTCTGAGGCTGGCTTTGAACTCTAGTCCTTCTGCCTGCTCAACATTTTTAGTAGGCGGGATTATTGGTGTGTGCCACCATATCCGGCAAAGGAGTATAATTTAGAGGCACACAATATAAATATTTCCATCATCAGAAAATATAATTGCAATCAATTAGAATGTAATAGGAATCCAATCTCCTTGGTGAAGAAAATGGCTGGGGCTCGAACTGGGCTTGATCCTCAGTAGCACGTAAAAATTAATAAATGGTGACCTGGGGATATACCTCTGTTATTAGAGTGTTTGTCTCACATGTGCAAGGCCATGGGTTCAATCACCATACAACCAAATAAATAAATAGATAAATAAATAAATTATATTTTCCATATAAACCTTAAAAAACAAAAATTAAACAAATAAATAAAAGTTGGGCATGTAAGCCTACACCTATAATCTCAGGGGCTCTGGAGATTGAAACAGAATTATCAATGGATCAAAGCCAGCCTCAGCAAGAGCAGGTGCTAAACAACTCAGTGAGATCCTGTCTCTAAATAAAATACAAAACAGGGGGGCTGGGGATGTGGCTCAAGCGGTAGCGCGCTC